GGTGCCAGGAACGACCGAGGAATGGATGGTTGGGAGAAGTCTCCACAACATTTCTCCCTGCAGCTCTTTTCCCACTAACACCAATGCAAAGGCTCTCACCAGGCAGATCACGGGAGCCTGCAGAGACCTTGGAAGCTCCAGGACTGCTCTACGCCCTCAGTCCTGCCCCAGAAACACTCTTACCTGTAGTGACATTTCTATCAGCATCAGCAGCTTCTTGATCCCGATCCAGACAGGTTTGCCCTTGACATTCTGGGCAATAGTGCTGCGCTCCTTGTCTTTGAAGCTTCCCAGGAGCTGGGGGGAAAAACAAATCAGCAACAGGAGACTGGCAGTAAGAACCATGCTACCTCAGGACAAAGGGAATGGGAAGCTAGAGACATTTACTGGCTTAGAAGGAAAATCTGCTGTGATATATCTAGGCAAGCAAAACACTGAGATGCTTTTATTCCATGTAGTTCTTTCCATACCATCCCTAATCCAACAGCTAGTGCTGTGCTTTTCTGCTGCATTCCAGGTTTGCTCCAGCTCAGGGCTACAAGGACACAGTGGCTCAGCACCACCAGACGTGCTGCAGTGTCACCGACACGACCCTGGGCCAAGTTTGCCACTTGCACCAGAGATTTGCCACTCCAGTTTATTCTGACCTTCCTCACTCACTACAATTCCTGCCATGGCACAGACTCAGACACCATTAAGGGCAGGAATTTCTAAGGAACATATCATCTCCGCAGCACCAAACACCTTCAGTCCATGCTACTCCAGCTCAGGACAGCTCAGCCTCCTCTGGACACATCCTGTTTCAGTGTCCCAGTTATACTCATTACCCACTTCCATGCCCTTGGAATCTTTCGATCCACAGCACAAACCTTTGCCCCAGCCCTACTGTTCTCTCATTTTGCCTTAATTTAATGCATGAAAAAGCAATCTGGGGAAGCCTCAGAGCTGCTGTTATGATACAACGTCAAAGGGACAGTGACACAGACACTGCAGAATGCCTCGTTTGAGCTCGTTCCTCACCTCCAAAGCTTCCATGAGCTGCTCCCCTGTGGCAATGTTGGGCACGTGGATGGTGGTGCTGAAGGCATTCAGCATCTCCATCTCCTGCAGCACGTCCTTGCGGCTGGTGGTGCCAATGATCAGGAGCTTCCGGCCCTGTCGGAGGGAACACGCGTCAGGGAAGGAACACAGAGAGGAACCAGCCCAGGGGAGGTTCAGCTGGCTCCAAATGGGAAATAGCCACTAAAAAACCCACCCAGAACAGAATTAACAGGATTCAATCTGTCAGTAGTGAAGTTCTCAACATCAGACACACACACACAGACAGATCAGATCTCAGAGGAACACCACAACAGGGGCCCCAAAACCATGTGCACAGAAGCCACACCACACTCACAGCTTCCCTGCCTCTCTGTTCCTGCTGCATCCTCATTAAAATTAAAAGCCTGAGCCAACTCCTGCTCCCAGTGCTGAGCTACAGATGACCTCTCTGGGGAGCAGCCCAGAAGCCCAGACCCCCGGGGACAGCGAACCCCGCACGGCTGCGGCCGAGGCTGCTGAGAGCAGAGGCCCAGGGCAGCACACACCAGCCCCGAGGCAGCCAGAGCCCTCAAGGGCCACTGAGAGGGAAACAGCTGCCAGGATAAACCCACTGCTGCTCCCCCACCCTGCACGGGCCACTCCAGAGCTGCCTGGGCATCCCCACGCCGGGTCTGGACACTGACGGAAGGAGCTGCTGGGATTATCAGCCCCTTCTCCAGCTCAGCTCACAGAGGAGGGCCCTGGCTGCCAAGGTCCTTCCCACTGCTGCACAGCAGTTTGGCTGATGCTCAGAGAGAGGGAGTGAAGTCCCAGTGACCACCCTGAGGTGTTTGGGCACTGAACAGCTCCCAGGGCAGTGGGCACAGCCCCAAGGCTGACAGAGCTTAGGGAGTGTTTGGCCAATGCTCTCAGGCACAGGGTGGGTGGTTGGGGTGTCCTGGGCAGGAGTTGGACTGGATGATCCCTGGGGATCCCTTCCAGCTCAGGAGATTCTGTGATTCTATGCATGACACAAAACTCTGTTCATCATTACAAAACCAAAACAAACCCCTAAAAACTATTCCCAAGATGAATCTCAGAACTGCTTTGCATTCCTTTGACAGAGGATGAAAACCTACTTAAACTCAACACATCTTTGATGCAGATGATGCATTTTCCCAGTGGCTGTTTTCCCCCAGGTGCTGCTGCATTTTCTGACTGTGCCTGAGCAAATTTCAATCCTGCTCTGGCTGATGGACACAGAGAAAGCTCTAAAGCCTGGAATGAACTCAGGTGCTCCCTTCCAGTTTGGTTTTAGCTCAAGGGAACAGAAGGGACACCTGGCAGGAGGAACCAGAACACATCCAGCTCCACAGAGAGCTCTGCCAGGGTCATTGTGCTGCCCCTCCGGTGTGAATCCCTGTCTGTGCCCTGCTGAGGCACTGGCACAGGGTGCCCAGAGCAGCTGTGGCTGCTCCATCCCTGGGAGTGCTCCAGGCCAGGCTGGATGGGGCTGGGAGCAGCCTGGGCTGGTGGGAGGTGTCCCTGCCATGGCAGGGATGGGACTGCATGAGCTTTAAGGTCCTTCCAATCCACTCTGGGGTTCTCTGAAATCAGCTCTATATCCCAGACTGCTCCCACTAGTGCACCTGACAGCAGTGGGCAATAGGTATTGCCTCCCCAGCATCCTGCCAAGCATTTCTGTCAGCCTGGCACAGCCCAGGACACCCATTTTCACAGGGAATGACCCTACACCAGCATCCCAGCCCCATGGAAGTTCTTGTCTGCTGACCTCACGGAGCAGGTTGGTACCACTGATGCTGCACAGCTCTGCCTCTTACAGTTTCGGCTTTCTAAGTGCAAAAGATCCCCACATGCCATGGCTATCCCAAGGAACTCACAGCAAACCCACACAAGAACCCTGTGATCAGAACTGCCAATCCAGGGCAGCCCAGAGGGCCCTTGGGTGGGAATTCCCTGTGGGATCAGGGACATGGGGGGAACCAAAGGGTTCACCTCGTGTCCTCATCCCCACAGAGCCAACAGTGGACA